CCTCTGGCCTGTGCCCCAGTTCTGTATGCATAAATAAATAAATCTTTAAAAAAAAAAAAAAGAAGCCAAAGCCACTTCAGTGTGAGCTCTATCCCCACCCAGGAGGTGACCCACATGGCGTGGCAGACCTCTCCTGACCCACCTGCTGCTCCCTTCAGCAGTGTACTTTAATCTGCCTGTTCTGCTCCCCACTCTGTCTCTGGTGAATCCTCTCACCAGAGGAGGAGCCCTGTACCCCAGTTCTATATGCATGAATCAATCTTTAAAAAAAATAAAATAACCATGGCCTGCCTCCAGAGGGTTTGCTTTAAGATGGCTACAGGTGCATGTCTTTGTACAGCATGTAGATGATGGTATTTAGCAAGTATGTGAGAACCACTGCTGAGTTGCTGACTCAAAGTAACTCAGGATACCAAAAGCAAGCAGATGAACATTCAAACTTCATTAAGTTCTAGTATTCAGCTCACTGAAAAAAATCCACTTCATACAGGCCAGTAGTACCAATTTGCCATTTTTTCCAATGAAATTTTAGCCCATTGCAAAAAAAAAAGCATGCACAGCTTAAAAACCAAAACAAAACAAAAACACAGGTAGATTTGGGCCACAAGTTTTGAGCCTACGAGCTACAAGCCAATCTTTCTGGATCTATTTATGAAAGCTTCACTTTGAGGACTCAAAGGTAGCCAGCACATTTTAAAGCTTGTATAGCCCACAGATTCCTAGGCCTCATACCAAGACCCTATGACTCCCTGAGGTTAAGCCCCGACTAGACATCTTTATGTTTAACAAATTCCCCAGGTGATGGGTATGTAATCTAATAGGTGGAGGAGGAAGAAGGCAGCTAGCTGCCTCCTTAGTTGACAAAATCAAATCCTACTCTCCAGGCTCACACAATTCCTAGAAGGAGCCCTAGTTTGACATTTCCTCCCAACTGGGGCCTTAAAAACACAGTTGCAGTGACCGGAGGGGCTGTGACACGCCCACCTTCTTCAAAGCTGCTTTCACAGGAGAGCGATGTGGTCTACGCCTGGTGCAGCTCCTAACACCAGAATCAACAGCACCATCCCAGACCTGCTGAACTAGGGACTTCCGAACACTTTGCTAACAAACCTCGCCTTACACCTCGGGGTTCACATAAAATGGGAGCACTCCGGGCCCTCCCTGGTGGTGCAGCGGGTTAAAGCACAGCACTAAGAAGCGAAAGCCACTTTAGTGCGAGTTCATCCCTACCCCGGTGGTGACCCACATGGCATGGCAGACCTCTCCCGGCCCGCCTGCTGCTCCCCTCAGCAATGCACTTCTCACTCTGCCTTTTCTGCTCCCCACTCTGTCTCTGGTGAACACCCCTGCACCTCTAGCTTGTACCCCAGTTCTGTGTGCATAAATAAATCTTTTTAAAAAAAATTGGAGAACCCCGCGGCAGTACAAAGAGCTGGAGCCACGACTCGCTTGGAATTGACCGCTGTTACTTCCCCGAAGCACGACCTGTAGCAACTGACTTCCCTGGCTGACGCTCGGTTCTTTCCTTTGAGAAAGGGGTAACCAATACCTCTCTCCTTTGTCACGGTAAAGTGCAGACTAAACGATCTGTGCAGGTGAAAGGGCATGGTCCTCACGACGGGCTAGCAACAGTCCCTGTTTTGGACCTTTCTTTCCCAGGCGGCCCGCGATGAGGTGTCCGAAGTTGCCAGAGAACGGACCTCAGGGGCGGCCCCCCACCCCCAGCCCGGGACACAAACGCTAAACTGGACGTCGCACCTGCCGGGCCCCACGAGCGCAGACTGGAGCCCAAAGCCGAGAGCGACCCCTCAGACCCGGATCTGTCCCGCAGCCCACGGGCTGGGGAAGCTTAAGAGCGACGCACCGATTCCCAACAACCCCCAGCCATAGGCCGCGGCGTCACTCACTTCCTCTTAACGTCATGCCGCGCGGCGTCACTTCCGGCGCCACTTCTGGAAGTCCGGGTGGCTCCGCGCCCCGCGCCCGGCGACTGTTGAGCGGGCGAGGAGCCGGGAGCTCGGCGGGGAGCTGGGCGCTGGCGCGGGCGCGGGCGGGGAGCGGGGCGCGGCGGGAGCTCGGAGATGCTGAGCGCAGTGGAACCCTGGGAGCAGCCCCGAGGTGGCGAAGGTGGGGATGAGACGTGTTCTCCGGACCGAGTCCTTTCGGATGCCACCCTCATCCCTCTCCATCCAACCTGAGACGGTGGATGTCGCCTCCTGTCTTTGCTTCTCCGGAGAAAGCGATTGGGCCCTAGCGGGCTGGTGGAAAGTGAGGAGGTTCGGGGAGCCAAGTGCTAAGTAGACTGCTGAGCTCTGAAAGCATTGGAGAGTCTAAGAGGCCCCTCTGTGTTCTCGTGCTTTCCCCGATCCAGGCAGTCACAGCAGGGCTTGGGTAATGTCAGGGCTTCTCCAGTGCTAAGTAAATTTTGTTTTGAATGAAAAGACCTAAGTTTCAGCGCAGATGTTACCATATACTGGGTGTACAATCTAGGGCAGGTATCCAGTTACTTGATAAACTGGGTATATCTCTTGTTGGGAGAATAAAATGAGATCATGAATGTATTTAGAGATTTAGTGTGATGCCTGGAATGCAATAGAACTTCAGTAAATACTAATAGAAGTGTTGTCTTCACTCCAGTTCTTGAAAAAAAAAAAAAATTAAACCTGTCATATGGAAAATGTGAAAAGTAGTTCTGAGTCAACTAATTTATGCAACGGACTCTCTGATATTAGCCAAAGCATAGTCACTGTGGAAGACTTTAAAATAAGCCATAGATTTGCAGACCCTCCCTGGTGGTGCAAGGGGTTAAAACGCAGCAGTGAAGCTATCTGCAGCCCCTGCAGCCTGAGGTCAATCCTGGCCAGGGAGCTGACCCACATGGTGCAGCAGACCTCCCTTATCTCACCTGCTGCTCTCAACAGTGTATTTCAGTCAATCGTCTGTTTTGTTCCCCACTCTGCCTCTGGTGCACCTCTGGCCTGTACCCCAGTTCTTGTATGCATAAATAAATCTAAAAAAAAAATAACCCATAGATTTGTATGCTATATATATATATGTGTGTGTGTGTGTGTGTATATATATATATATATATATATATATACTGTTCACCTGCAGGAATCTCAATGTAACTGTATCGTTCCTACTGATTAATTTTCACAACATCCATTATTTCTTGTTATTCTGTGAAATACTGAAGGAAAAATTATCCTGTAACTGAAAGAGAAAAGTGGTATGGCTAGACTATAATTTTTTATCTCCTCCCCTCTATCTTTCTAACTAGTAATTTGTCAGTGTCTCCTATTGCTTTTAGAACTTAAGTTGTGTCTCCGAATGGGGATGTCATTTCTTCTCAGTGATTATGGCTTTGGAACCAAAACAAGTCTGGATCGAGGAGTCCCTAAAAATAACGATTCAGGCCTCTTCAGCCTCCAACTAACCTATTTCTCAAAAATCAATCCATGGCCTGTTTGCATTGAAAATAACTTGCATTTTTACCAAGCACTTCAGAAGATTGATGCACAGAAGTTTGAAAACCTTTAGGATGCACAGGACAACAGATTGTTTTAGTTTGTCTGAGAATAAAAGGGGTTTTCCAGGACCCAGAACTTTTAGTCCCAGAACCAGGTTGTCATAAGCAGCAGACATGATGGTCTCAAAAACAACCTAGATGCCCATAAGTATGTAGTAATAGGAAAACATTCTTCATGGGTCTTGAAACCCGTTTCCCAATTTCTATATGCAGTATTAGTGTTCCTATGGAGTGGTGGTGGACACCCTGGAGGGATGTTGCAGTTGATTCCCAGCTCATTGATTTTCATAGCCAAATGCATCCTTCACTGCCTTGCTTTGCAATGCTGCAACATTTCTCCCTTGCTTTTGACCTGATGTTAAGTGTCATCAGAAGGTACTGGAGAGACCATCACAGTAGAGGAATGGGCTCTCTGATTCCAGTGTGCTCCTTTCCACTGGCTCTGCAAACTGTGCTTGACATCACTGAGCTGCAAACACATCAGTAAGGCGGGACGGGGGAGGAATAGATCCCCAAACTTAAAACAGGAGATCTGCTTGGACCCAGGTGAAACTGACAATCTTGAACGCCTGTCAACCTGACCGTCCAATGGTAGTGGAAATAACTCACTTCTGTACTTACAGGCAGGAGTGATGTCAGACCAGGTCTTTCTTGGGGTTCTGCCAGAGGTGGTGGCTTCTCCCTCTGTTTATATATTCCTAGTTTTCCTTTCCCACTGTTGCTCATACCCTAATATGGTTGATAATTGTTTTTTATTGTTTGCATGTCTGTATAGTTTCTGTCCACTGTGCGTGTCCTGGATCTGTATAATTGAGGTATTGGGGTTTGAGGGCAGTAGCAAGTGACCAACCCGCACTTCACCTTTGAGTTGGGCCCTTAGCATTTTGTGCTGCTTCGCCTGAAAAAGCCCTCAAGTTTCAGGTGTGGCTGGCTTGGCTGCCTTGCCTCTGAAACCAGCTTTATGACTGGAACACCAGCTGCACCAGTCACTAGGAAATGCTTGTAAAAGTCAAGGATTCCAGGCCCCACATCAAGATTCTGGGTTAGTGGCCTGGGGCCAGGCCCAGCAATTTGTACTTTTCACCATGCCCTGTTCATTTTGCAAGAACCTAGGAGAATTCACTCTGCCTTTTTCAGCTGCCTGCTTTCCCCAGGTGGTCACTTTTCCCACTCAACAATTCTCTTATCCCCTGGATGGCAAGACTGAGAGCTACTCTAAGTGCTGGTAACTCAGAAATGTGGGTGAGCCACACACTGCAGCTTATTTTCAGTCACCAGTTTTCACACTAGACTCCTGCCAGACTTCACCCATTTCCATCATGTGCCACGTGTGGAGCACCTGCTGCTGAATTCCTGAGAAGATCCAATCCAAGGAAAACAATGGTGCATCCTGCTAATAGCACTCAGAGAAAGCACCGTTTCGAGAAATACCCAGCCCATGTCTCACTGCCAAAGGCCTGGCAGTTCCCAGCTTGAAGGACGATAGTGGGACAGGAACCTGCCAGCCCTGCAGCCTGATTCAAATCTCTGCCAACTCTGAACCATACTGAGGCAGAGAGCATACCTCCTGACTCCAGACAGGAACTCCTCCTCCTCTTCCATACCCACCCGAAGCTGCTCTAAAATAGTCTGTTCATTTTTTTTTTTCAGGTCAATAGAAAATATCCATTCTCAGGCCCTCCCTGGTGGCACAACAGGTTAAAGCACAGCACTACGAATCTAATGGCAGCCGCTTCAGCCTGAGTTCGATCCCCAGCCAGGAGGTGACCCACTCGGTGCAGCAGACCTCTTCTGTCTCATCCGCTGCTCCCCTCAGCAGTGTACTTCATTAGAAATATTCAATTTATGCTCACAATAATCTTGGGACTATTGTTACTCCTATTTTTCAGAAGGCAAAACTGAGGGAGAGACAGGCTATAACTTGCCCAAGCTCTAGCATATGCACATATTCTGATCACAGTACAATTGTTTATAAATCAATAACAAGATGTTAACTTTTTAATTTTGAACTATCAGATTTACAAGTTTGCAAAAACAGTACAAAGAATTGCCCTTTACCTAGATTCACCAAATGTTAACATTTGAACACAATTTATTTCACAATTTTCTGTATAAACAAATTTTTTAATGACCGTTTTGAGATTAAATTGCATATATTGTGTCCCATTTTCCCTAAATATATCTAGTGTATTTCCTAAAACAAGGACTTTTTAAGTAATCACACAGTACAATGATCAAAATAAGGAAATTAACATTGATAAAATTCTATAGCCTACATACCCTACTTAAATATCACCAATTGTCTCAAAAATGTCCGTTATAGCAGAAATTTTTTTCTAAGAGCATGCATTACATTCAATTTGTCACATTTCTTTAGTCCACTTTAATCTGAAAATTTTGACAAGTTTAGGCTGCTTACTTTCTAGGATATCCTTTATTTCCTCTGGATTCAGTTTACTTACATACATTTGTCAGGAATAGCACATTAGTGATGTTCAATCTTCAGTCCATATCAGAAAGTACATAATGTAAAACTGTCTTATAAGTGGTGACAATAATACAAAAGCTTTTTTAAGCATTGGTATTGAAAAAGAACAAGTAAATATATATACATGTCCATACATACATTATGGAACATAGCAGAAGATAGAGCCTTTTCTATAAGAATAGAAAAAAACAATACCTGCGAGTCAATTAAATGTCCAATTTACAAATTAGAAAAGTAACAGAATAAAGCCCCAGAGAGCAGGAAAACATAAATGTAGCAGAGCTGATCTACCCCACCAAAAGCTGATTCTTCAAAAAACAAAATACCCAACATGTTGCAAAATGGTTGAGGAAGAGGAAGTGAGAAGATCTAAAGAATAATAAGAAAGAAGATATTATGTAGAAATCCAAGAGAGATGTAAAAAGGAAAAACATGAGTTACTTTAGGCTAATACATGTGGGGAATATATATATAATGAGTAAATGCTTAGAAAAATCTTAATTTATAAACTGACCCAAGAAAAAAATAGAAACCCTGAGTGGCAGTGCCTTCTGAGCATTAACTAGTAAGTTGTTAGCTAAACTAGTTGTAAATCCTCCAATAAATAAAAACTTGGACTAACATGGTTTTACAAACTTAAAAGATTGTTCCAAGCCTTTACAGATTCTTCCAGAGAACAAATGACAATCCTCCCCAGTTCATTTAACATATGAAGTTATAAAAGCCTGGAAAGGAAAACAGGACAATTATAAGAAATTTCTTAACTAGAGATATAAAAATTCCAAATAAAATAGCAAACTAAACCCAGTATTATTTAAAAGAAGTAAAATATAACCACAAATGTATAGGTGGCTTAATGCTAAAAAATCGTAACTAAATTAAGCAAGTTCTAGAAAATCTTTAGAAAATGTCACCCAGCCTATACAACCTGTCCCTAGAACATTCCAGGTAATCTTTCTCCTTAGGTGCTTTGCACATTCTGCCTGAAACACCCTTTCCTCGGGTAGCTACAAGGCTCGCTGAAGACTGTTCAAACACCTCTCATGCCCTCTGTGGCAATAAAAAGTCTCCTGCTCCCACCCCCCCCACCTTGCATGCCCTCTGTGGCAATAAAAAGTCTCCTGCTCCCACCCCCCCCACCCTGCCACCTTCCCCCCACCTTGACTCTGCTTCACCCTCCCCATATTCATAGCTCTATACTACATTACTGTTTCTTTTATTATGTCTCCCTCATTTGCCCCCCATCCCAATCAAAAATGTAAGCTCTGTAGGACAAGAATTCTGTCTCTTCTGTTCACTGTAGTTTCATTAGCACCCAGAAAAGTAAATGGCACAGTTGGCACTCAACAAACACACACACTGTTTGCAAAATGGTGTAACGAAGATGAGCTTCCTTATACCTTTTGAAAGCCTGTTTGTATCATCCATATTTCTTGCTCTAATGACATATAAAAAAGTAGACAAAGTTGTGACGCCTTTCACCACACTACAGTTTTGCACCCAATCTACTTGTGTCCGGCTAGATTCATGAGCCATTTCTAGATGTCTTCATGTAAATCTCAATAGAATTACATTTCCACAAGGAAGTTTAAATTCTGTTCATCTATACAAGTTTTGCATGATGAGTGACATATATATGCTAGCTTGAAAGTACCGGAATGCCACAAAATACTCCTTGACATTTTTTTAAATGTTTCCAAAAAATTTTGTTTTGACACCCCTAAATGACAGAGCAAAATAAAAGAGTCTAGGACCATCTAAATCTCAGCCGTTTTTGGTACCAGTAGGTCTAAGCAATGATAGCACTCCACAGTGCATTTCAGTCTCAGAAGGTGTTATTTCACTTCAATCTCTTTCACCCCGAATCAACACCCATGGTATTACCACTGGCACTGAAGCTCACTTCATGTCACATTCAATTCTGCCATAGTTCAATGCAACAAATATCAAAAAAAAAAAAAAAAAAGAACTCAGAAGTCATCTCTCTAGGGCATGACTCTGCGGGAAGGGAGAATATCTGTACCATCCTTCCCACTGATTTACCCCCTGTGCACGTGGGGCCGGCACAAAGACCAACCCAAATGGCACACATCAGGTATGGGAGGCAACCTCTCCCGTTCCTGCCACGCTATTTCACTGAAAAGGCCAATGAAAGAATAAGCAGCGAAAATTTGACTTTCTAATGTCATGAAGTGAACAGATTCTACATAAGTCATCAATATTCTTTTCTACTCTTTTTGGCTTCAAACCTTAATTAGTATAGATTAGATTAGATTATAAAACCAAGTCAATATAAACTTAAATCTTAAAACTATGCTTTGCAACTTGGAAGGCTTGGAGTTCACAGATTCTCATTTCATAGTTTTTCTTTTCATGTGCCAGAAAACAAGTATTTTGTATAATTGTTAACCTATCCCTACCCTATTTCCCCCCAAAACCATCATTTTTAACTATCAACTATGTGTAAAAGGAAAAAGAAAATTCCCACACCATTAAATGGGAGAAGAGGGAAATAGTCTGTTTTCACAACATGAAATTTACCCAATTTTACCTATTCTTTCTTCTGTCTTACTCTCTTTTCCTTTTGAAAACTTAAATCGCAGAGCCTGGGAACCATGACTGAGGAGAAGGCCTACATTCTGTGTTGTATGTGTGTTGCATTATTTCTTGGTAATTTCCTCAAGTTATCTAGCAGGATAAAAGTCTTAATTTACGGTAAGCCAGTGTAAAAACGGCCTTAATTTCAAGCACCAAAAAAAAATCTATTTTCAACCCAAACCATGGTTATATCATCTTTTATTAAGATTAGTTAAATGGATACATGTAAGGGGGATGCTGATTTAAAAGTATAATCCTTTTTCTCTGCTAGCATTTCTGTTCTAGGAGTAGCCCATTATGACATGTGGGGGCTCTACTGGTGCGGAGGCAAAAGAATGCTGGGGTCCACTTTTCTGGGTCAGGGTTTCCTAAGAGGGGCCCCAAGTAGCTGCCCTTCTCAATGGACATTTGGTGCATTCACCTTTATAAATCATCCCACACCGTTGTCAAGATTTCCATACATTTCAACTGGGAAGGAAGATGTATTAAAGGAAAGCATGTCTGAGTGGGTTTCATGTGTCAAAAACTAACTACTTCTTAATTTATTTCTATGTCATAAACTACTTTTGAGAACGAATAATGGCCAATACGTATACGAACTGGGACATACTTATAAAACATCCTGCCAGAGGACTAGCAAATCACAGTGCTCCCGCCCACAGCCAATCAATTCATCTCAGCTCCCTCTAAGTGTTAAAACAAGTAGTTGATAATAACTTTTTAAAGTAGGTTTTAGAGAAAATACAATTATTGGCATTTGGATCAGGGGAAATTGTTGAGCATTATTTCTGACTATTATTCTGTGTTTTACTACGATCGGAATCCTTCTAGTAAGCTGTTCTTGTTATTTGTTCTATAATCATATGCTATTTGCATGTAATATCAAACTTCAAGATAACTCCTAGTAGTATCCAGAGTATGTGAGAGAAACTCTAGAAAGCCACTCCTGCTTTCCTCCCATTTATAACATGAATCTTATTAGTAACTATTAAAATGACAACATAGGTTTTGAAGGTGGGGGAGAGGGGCGCCTCGCCAAGGACACACAGTAGCTGGAGCCTCTGGTCAAGTCACTGAGTGCTGGTATCCATGCTTAGTTCTTCTTGGCTTTTTTCAGATAGCGAGCCCGCGTGGACTTGTTTAAAGACATGGTCATGTTGAAATACATCCAAGAAGGTATGAGTGAGATCATGGTGCTCTAGAGAAACAAAAAATAAAATGAGATAATGTAACTGCAGCCTGTAATTTTCAGTTAAGTTGAATCATCTTATGTTTATATTTTATTGTTTTATTTACAGATAGATTTTAAAGTCCCTGGGTGTACAGTTTAAGAGAAAATATAAATGCTTCGTTAGTAAGTCTAGGCAATGGATAAATGCTTCATATCCCATGACGTTTGGTGAATCAATGAGAAAGAAAGCCCCACCCAGACTGACGTCCTGATTTGGAACATAGAAATCCACATACTAGAAAAGAATGGATCGGGTATCCGTTGGTCCGGGACTGCAGGCCCACGGTTTTAACTGCGGCTTGCACAAACGTGTCTGAAGAAGGCTTATCCAAAGTCGGCTTTCGGATTTTGGCCAGTTTCGTAGCTACGTAGAATGGCAGGACACACTAGAAAGGCAACATCCCCCCAACAAGAAACAAGTCATTATTAAGAACGCCATAAACGCAGAATTCAGTGCTGCATGACTGCTGCGTGCAGAAACATTCTGATGAAATCTACAGTTTGGACTTAGAGAAAAAAAGCAGTGATCTGAATTCAACTTGTCAGGCACATAAGGGTGTACAGAAAGTTGTAATCAATCAATTGCTGAAACAGTATTTGAGACTGAAGAAAGTACTGAGAATAAGCAGAAACATATTTTTGCATTTTTAAGAAGAACATGAAACAAACCTGTAGAGAAGAGATTCAGGTTGGGATACTCTTTCTACGCCAGCTCAACTGAAAAAGGTCCTGGAATCCCTACATAGCAGATTTCTGATATTTTAAATCCTCCTAAATAGAGATACCAATTTTCTTCAAATTGGTGATGAAGTAAGCTTGTTCCATCAGCTTTGGTCTCTCTAAAATAAACATTTCACTTTCTCAGCCATGAGTGACTACTTTTCTAGTTTCTTATCATTCTGCTTCTCCGTTTTATCTACTTTACTACTGACAGAAGAGGAATCCCTGCTCTTTATGTGCCTGTGGGGAGACAGTAACAGTATGGAACTAGCTTGGAGAGCTAAGAGACACTCACTGGACTGGTATGAAATCCAAACACTACCGGTTAAAGGGACTTAGCCAGCGTCAGGCTCTTCACTGCTTCTGCTCCGTTTTAGATATGACTCAGTACAGAATATGAGGAAGCCCCACTACTGTGAATCCTGAGTTCTGAGGATCCTTCTCTAGTTTGAAACAGCATGGACATGGTGGGCTTTCAAAGAGTAAATGAACCCCATTTATCACAGGATAAGGAAAGGAAAGGATATAAACTCCTGTGATGCTTCTATTAAAGAAGAGGAACTTCCCAATACCTGGTGGTCAAAACCAAACACTGGAAATAGACATGAAATGGAGATGTGTTCCAGACCGAGAAGCAGAGTTCCCAGTCTCTCTGGGGGTTGGCTTATATTTTTCCCACTCTCAAGTATGAACTTAGGAGGAAAATCTACCTTCCTTAGCAGGTGAGCTCAAGCATCAGCCTACTTGGTAAGAACCAAGACCCCAAGGGCCGAAGACTATCACCATCCGTCTCTCTCTCAGCCCTGCAAGCACAAACCCACACTAAATAAACTTGACTTTTCCAAAGTGCTTCAATGTCAGCACCAGCTCTGAGTAGGTAACTTTAGTTCTTGAGTATTTATTTGTTGGCATTATCACTATACACTTAACCCCTCACTTCATGAACACAATTTCTTTTTCTCAAAAAGCTCTTTACTTTTTAACCATGTTGCTGTGAGGACAGAGTATGTGAGAGTACAAACCACATACCTCAGACATGTACGACACGTTAAAAATGCAGATTTTAAGGATGCTAAAACAATTGTCAAGGATGAAAAAGTTTGCTGGCCGAGCAAAGCTGAGTATCAAACAAAGCAGGAGAGAGTCCAGACCTATACTCTGGCTCTGAATGATGAAGGAACACAAGCAAATCACCTTATATCCCTATGCTTCCAGCTTTCTGGTTACAAAAAGTGATAATTAGAAACCATTCCCATCTATTGGTCATAAATCTACCAAAGTTTTTCAAGGTAAAGATGGTCTGACAATCATATTTCTCAACTATATAATTATACATAGTCCTCCAACACGCCCTCAATAGTTAAGGCCTAAATTGGACTATTTTGATCCCGTTAGAAATCAATTGCACTGCCTGGATGAGCCACTTGATGGCACCACAAGTCAACTCATCACTCAGCTGGACCGTCGAGATCATGGAGAGAGAGAAGCTAAGGCTGGAGGTGGGGACAAGTGATGAATGCCAGGAATGCCACCTTTAGATATGTTTTTCCAACTAGAAGTATAAATTCTGTTTTAGGGCATTTATTTCTACTTTGATGTAAATCAAGGAGGTGAGCATGAACCAGTAGAGGACAGAACCAGTAGAGGAGATGAAGTAACTTTAAATGAAGTGGAGGAAATAAACAAACAGGGAGAAATTTTGGGGGAGTAGGGAGACAGCAAAAGCAAAGAAAAGGAGACACAAGAGAACACGACATTCTCCGGGAGTTGAGCTATGGTTCAAACACTGGCAACGTGGGAAGTAGCGTGAGCAGGAGGACGGCTAAGTGGTACAGAAACTAAATCCCATCACTGGCCAGCACCAATGATCAGGACGGGTTACTCACCACGCTACTGCCAGTACACACAGCAAAGTGAGTGATCTGCTGAGATTAGCAATGGAGCCCGTCATAAGGAGGGCACTGAAGACCTATCAGGGCCCCGTTCCCCGGTACATTGCAGTTCAGAAAATCAATTATCCCAGAAAGTCAACAATATAATAGGAGAGCTTTAACTACAATTTTATACATTCTGGAGCTTCAGCAAGATCATCTGAACAAAGACAGGCTATTAGGTCTAGCATCGTGCCCAGGATCTGAAAAGAAATATTTCAAGTTACGTGAAAGAAATACAGGTCACGATAGCATTTAGGTGCATTCTTAAATAGCAAGGACCCCCATAAACAGTCATTAAACCATCTTGCTGCCTATTTAGGGAAACATTCAAATGAACAGCTCCAAATGATACTTGTATTTTTTTAAAAAGAAATTTTTTTATTTATTTATTCATATAGAACTGGGGTACAGGGCAGAGATGTCGAGGGTGAGAGGATTCACCAGAGACAGAGAGGGGAGCAGAACAAGAAGATCAACAAAGTACACTGCTGAGGGGATGGGAGCAGCAGGCAGGTCAGAAGAGGTCTGCCTTGCCATGTGGATCTCCTCAGGGCAGGCGGGAATAGAACTCATGTGGAAGTGGCTTAAGCTTCTTAGTGCTGTGCTTTAACCCGCTGCGCCACCAGGGAGGGCCAGATACCTGTATTTTTATAGTGGCTATCTGGGGCAGAACAAATAGTACAAATTGCTTAAGCTCAACAGTGTGTGGTGATGGACGAAGAGCGTCAGCTAGGAGACTACCTGCACTCTGACAGGCAGAGATGCAGGCACGTGTTCTGGTCTTCAACTGGGAATCCCAAACTGGAAATAATTAACTAGGCCATAAAACAAAGCTGTTGATGTTTTACTCTTCCTTGCTCAGAAAATTCCCTGGAGCTGTCTTTTTTTTGCGAGCCAGTGGGGGAGACTGCTTAAGAATCTGCCTTCCACAGAACAACTTAGCAGGGCTTGATTCGGAATAAGAAGTCCACACCCCTTTGTGACGGGAAGAAGCTGGGTGCCAAGCTGGGTGATAAGGCGAGCCTTCAAGGCTGAACATGGACACTGAGCTGATGAAGGTTGTTTCCACAGTAGGTCAAGGAAGACCTACTGCAAAGTTCTGAATGGAGAGAGTTAGTCAAAGGACTTCTGGGTAATAGTCTTTTAGACGGAACAATCAGCAAGAGCAAAGACCCTGAAGTGGGAGTGTATATTGGAGGGTGAGAGGGATGACAAGGAGGATGAGAAATTGCAGGGGCGTGAGATGATGTGGAACCTTTGAAATCAGAACACAGTGGGTCATAAGAACTCCTGACTTGCCTCGGAAAGATGAAAAGCCACGGGAGAATTTTTCAGTAGCGGGAGTGAATGTGCTTTGAGGAGACCGCTGTGACCACAGGAAGGCACGGCACAGTGCCCAGGGAGGGGCCGTGGGGGCTCAAGTTAGAGTGGTGGCTGCAGAGTGGACACGTTTACAGGCCAAACAACAGCAATCAAGATTTCCCAGTGGACTGAGACTGGGCTATGAGAGAAAGAGGAAGGTGTGTGGTGGGTGGGTGGGTGGGTGGGAAATCAGATGGGGCTTAGCTTCAGAGCCCGGCATGACCACTTACTGGTTGTGGATCTTGCCCCAAATCCTGAGCCTTGTTTGTCTTCTGTAACCGGGGGAGTACAGGCTCTTCCTTGTTATACCAATATATGTATTAATTAAAATATAGTCAAAGAGTATCAGATTTGAACTCTGACATGGACTAGCAATTATTTCCCAGGATTTCTATTTTTCAGAATGAATTTGGAAAGAAAACTTAGCTGAATATTCGTGTCCTGCATGAGTTACAAGAATGCCATTTTCCATTTACCTACCTGGAAGAGTTCAGAATCCACTTTCCCAACAGGACTAATTTTACCATTCTTAAGAGCCATTTCTCAAGTTAATACAGTTGATCAGATATGAATACTTCCTGGGAGAATATTTATACCGCTTTATAGTTCTATTGGACTCTATTTGCACCCAAGACACACTCCAATAGCTTCGTGTATACCAATTGCAATTAATAAGAACAGGTGAAGACTAATGTTTCAGTTTGGATAGCCATTTCTGGCTAGCATTCTTCACCATACAAAATCACCTTATTACTGTAGTCATTGTTTTTTTATTGTCTGGCTCCTGTCCCATTAGATACAGATTCTACCAGGGCCTCGATCTGGATTTTTTTTTTTTTTTGGTCATTGTAATCCTAATTCCTAAACTGTTAGGTACCCTCTACATAGTCCTTGGCTGAGGAAATGTACAGGATATAGACCTCACACTTTGGACTTACTACCCCTTGACATTGTGTTTGAATAATGTGTTTGAATATTGTCTTCTCTCTCTGTGGCTACCTTGGGACCAAAGACTGTGTTCTCTTCACTTGCGTTACCTACCCACCTTGCTAAGGAGCTGACAGATAGCAGGCACTCACGTTCTGCTCAACTGAACTCACCTAAGGCGGGTTCCAGGACTCCTGTTTATTCTTAATTTCAAACAAAATAGGACTAGGTAAGCATGCATCTCAAATAAGACAATAAAACGGGTGAAAACATGGGGTCTCATATAGATACTCAACAACCTAAGTCTTGTGCCCATTGTTCACACTTGTACTCTGTTTCAGAGCTGCAGGATTTCTATACATGCCATGTTCATTGTCCCCACCTGACAGAAGGGAGACTAAGGGTCAAAGTAAAGGAGCTTTCTGCAGGTCCAAGGGCCACTG